GAGGAGGGCGTCAAAGGGGGTAACCAACGCATTTCTATATTTTTTTAACGGACTCATTTAAGTGAGTATAGCAAGTTTGGTGTCATTTTCATGTAAAACACACACAAAGAATTCATTTCTGAGGCTTAAAAAGTATGATTCCATACAAAAATATTATTTATTCAACAATTGAATGACCATCAATTTTCAAAAAATATTTTCGACACGTTATATTTTATTATAATCATTGGTCTGTATGAATACAAAAAATACTATAACAAATCTTATTAAATGTAATTTACAAAAATACTCAATGAGTGTATATTATTCATACAAAAAGTATAAACAAAAAATCAAGAGCATGTCTAAAAACTGATGCGCACGATGCTCTGCGGTCAAGTTATTATTTTTAATGGCTCAATAAATGCGACAAGTACCTATGTAGTATCGTTTTTATACAAACCAAATACAAGGAATTCATTTTTGTTGCTCAAAACGTATGATTCCATACATAAAAATATATTTCAATACGATAATAACAATAGAATTACAAGCAATGTTGGGTATAGAAAAAACTTTAATTCGTCATATTTTATTTAAAACTTTCATTCATATAATCATCAAGTTTACAATTACTTGTAATGGTTGTGTACTTCTTAAATATTAAAAACGCATTGTGAAACAATTTAAGCAGTAGGGGAGAGGGGGGCGGCTTTGCACAGGGGCAGCTATGAACAAACTAAATACTGTCTACGTGTTTTATGCAATAACGATGGAAACGGCTTTAGTTTAATGTGCACAACTGTCAGCATCCCTGTCATCGACAATTTTACTAAGTCAACAAAAAACGCGGATGTTATTGGCTGTTTTTGTTTTTGGGTGTGCTCGATGTACATTTTTTTCAAAAGTTGTAAGGGTTTTTCTGGTTATTATTGGTTTTGGCGGATTTACACGTTTATTTATCCTAATTTGTGTATATTTATACGTCTATTTCACTTATTATTTAAATCCAAGAGTAAATACTTTATTTTAAATTCTAATGAAGAAAGTTATAAGGTATGCTTGGGGCAGCTTTGAATAAATTTTGAGGGGCACATTTGGACATACAAAGTTGCACCTGAAAAAATATTTTAAAAGTTAAGTTCAAATATGGGATTGATAATATTTATAATCATTTAGCTACGTATTATTGTTTTGTTTTTTAGTAATTTAGTTCAAAAATCTTTATTAAATCGAAAAATACTGAGTCTTATGGGGCCTAAATTTATATTGGTAAAATCTTAAGCATTTTTAACGCAAATAAGTTATATCAGAAACTAAAGTCAAACACAATAAAAATGCAAGATATATGCATATTTCGCTATAATGAATATTAAATAGAAACAGTAATAAACTACTTGTTCAAAAGTGCCCCAGGCTTGTTCAAATCTACCCCGGGATGGGGCAGCTTTTAACGCTTTCCGCGCTTGTAGAAAAACCGGCGTAGCACATTTTCGTGTAAAGCTATTTTAACATTAATATAGTTTTTATCTTCCCAGATAAGCTACCTAATACACCATGCACAAACATATTAAGAAAGTTAACTATTTTGAAAGTTACAACCTGTTTTGTAAATTCTGTACAAAGCTGCCCCCCTCTCCCCTACTTAGGTACTCCAGACATAGCAAGCGAGCGATGCGATGCATGAGCGATAATTTTTACAGGATAGTTAATGTTTTCTGGTTGAGCGAAGGTACAGTAGAATAAATAGATTACCTTATTTTTTTACTCCACATCTTAAAATGATCATCTAGGGCCACTCTATTCGTTGTAAAAATTTGGTTAGGCTCTAGGTGATGTGTCACAATTTTTGCCCTTTTGTAGGGAACGTTTCTTCTACTATTTGGGGCATTGAGGGAAAATGACCAAGCCGTATTTATGTTTTTGATAAATTATTAATTTATTTGAATGTAGCTTTACTTTTACAATTTCCGGGCATTTCCTAACGAAACGGATTACTGCCAATTTCGTGACGTACCTACAAATATTTTATAAACGACTCATGACCGTTAAATATCTTGTTGCTATAAATGATGTTGCAGCGATACATACTCATAGGCATGTCTAAATTGGCTGTGAGGTAATGCCTTGTCTTTATATTTTAACTGCTTAACTTTTAAAACAAACCACGCCCATAAACCAAGATCGGTATATCAAGGCGCGTGACATTATACCCAATTTTTATGTTCGTAAAAAAACCTGTTCCCACGAGCCGAATCGTTTTTGTGAAAACAACGGCGTAATAAAGGGTCTTATTGTTATCCTTTGAATTTATATCCAGATATTATCGCAGTCATAAATTGCAACCTCGTAGGCACCTAACAGTATGCTTGAAAAACTGACCGGGGTCAGGCCGTAGATAGAGACATTACATGGCTGATAAAGGGCTTAGCTGGGAAGGGAGGGAAAAACTTACTAAACAAAGACTTTTCACTACCCGTTGTTAGTGGATAAGGGTATCGGGTTCATTTGGTAAAATAAAATATAAAACTCCTCGCCTTTTTTAAAAATAAGCAGGCATTTAAAAAATAAATAGCATACAAATTAGAACATAATTATGATACATCGGCTACATCGTAGAAGGTTCCGGGTTCAATTTCCGGCAAGGTCACTCACAAAGTTGATATTTATCACTTTGTGAACTTGTTCCAGTCTGGATAGGATATTGCATGTTGAACCACCTGATTGTCCGAAAAGCAAGATGGTTCCCTGCTTCGGATGGGCACGTTAAGCCGTCGGTCCCGGTTGCTGTCTATGATCGATCATTTAGACGGCAGTCGCTACAAAACCATATCAGAGGCCTGCTACTTGCAGTAGGCGGTTGAAAAACTCTGACACCGGGGTTCATCGGGTCGTTGGACGACTTGGTGTCCCACTCTAAGGAGAAGAAGATCAAGTATAGAGCGTCGGTGTACCATCACCGAAAGTCATACAAACAAATCAGTCTGACATTTTTGGTGTCTGTATTTGCTTGTGTAGAATAGTACTACCTGCACGTGCCAATAGTTAACGAATTCAAATTAATAATTATTATATTCTTTGCTATTCCATCTAAGCAATTTAAGAAAATATTGTGACCAAATCTGAAACTCTGTAACACGAAAGCTGCCAAACTTTTTAAAACCGCAACCCAAGCAATTAAACCGTCAAAAAATAAAAACATAAACGCATTAATCCTCGGTTTGGCAACATCTGTTTTCTAATTGAGGCATTAAGGTCTGCCGGATGGGACTCCTTTAATAACAGCGTACATAACTGATGGTGGCCAAATGTCCGGTATTAGATGACGCCGACGGACCGCCGAACTGCCAGACCACAGTATATTGTAAAGGATAAGCCAGTAGCGAAAATTTCTTCAAACGCTGAGTACACGCATAGGTACACAACGTACCCAGCATCTCAGCAATCTCGGGGGATGATAGTCGAGGTACGGTAGCTAGGTCATCATCATCTTCCTGCCCTTATCCCAATCACTTGGGGTCGGCGCAACACGTTTTGTTGAACACAAAATCGTATTGCAAAGGATTTGGCTTAATTTTACGACCGGCCGCCTACCAGACGTCTACCCTCTTTGGGAATGCTTTTGTGGTGGATTAACCGCTACCATACGGTTGGCCCTGGCTGTTTGGGTCGGGTTTATCCCTCGGTCGCCTCTTACGACCCCCACCACGGTAAGAAAGGGGGTGGTGCTATTCTACTCTGCCAGCACCACACGGTAGCTAGGTATTTATGAAATTATGACTAAATAATGAAACTCGACCTTTTTTTGTCAATTGAAGCGTAAAGGTTGGCAATTTCGGTTAATGTAACTCCACAAAGACAAATATTTTTACCGCTATGAAGCTCATAGCCTAGTTTTTACTTTGGGATTGTCACTTGCTCGTCACCTATAAATGTAACACGTGAAACTCATTCATGATCTCTAGGTATAGATATTTCAATGGGTTTTCCTTTCGGTGGTTTGAATTTCACTCATAATGTGGACTAACCATGTAGTAAGTTCTAAATACTTTCTACAGATGTCGCTGGATCGTCGCTTGTAGACGAGCATCAAGATAAAGAAAATTTGGCATTCATTAACTGGTGCATCGATAGCTCAGTGGCATAGCGGTGGGGCGTTCACCCATGCGGCCCAGGTTCGATTCCCGGTCGATGTATGACATTTTTTCTAATTCTTATTTTCACTTGTGAGAATAATATAGCACTGTGAGTGCTTTACAATCCCAATAGATTGATTAAGCAAGCTTCATCATATGGTTTGAATTTCACTCATAATGTGGACTAACCATGTACTAAGTTCTAAATACTTTCTACAGATGTCGCTGGATCGTCGCTTGGAGACGAGCATCAAGAGATAGAAAATTTGGCATTCATCAACCGGTGCATCGATAGCTCAGTGGCATAGCGGCGGTGGGGCGTTCACCCATGCGGCCCAGGTTCGATTCCCGGTCGATGTATGACATTTTTTCTATTTCTTATTTTCACTTGTGAGAATAATATAGCACTGTGAGTGCTTTACAATCCCAATAGACTGATTAAGCAAGCTTCATCATATGGTTTGAATTTCACTCATAATGTGGACTAACCATGTACTAAGTTCTAAATACTTTCTACAGATGTCGCTGGATCGTCGCTTGGAGACGAGCATCAAGAGATAGAAAATTTGGCATTCATCAACCGGTGCATCGATAGCTCAGTGGCATAGCGGCGGTGGGGCGTTCACCCATGCGGCCCAGGTTCGATTCCCGGTCGATGTATGACATTTTTTCTATTTCTTATTTTCACTTGTGAGAATAATATAGCACTGTGAGTGCTTTACAATCCCAATAGACTGATTAAGCAAGCTTCATCATATGGTTTGAATTTCACTCATAATGTGGACTAACCATGTAGTAAGTTCTAAATACTTTCTACAGATGTCGCTGGATCGTCGCTTGGAGACGAGCATCAAGAGATAGAAAATTTGGCATTCATCAACCGGTGCATCGATAGCTCAGTGGCAGAGCGGTGGGGTTTTTACCCATGCGGCCCGGGTTCGATTCCCGGTCGATGTATGACATTTTTTCTATTTCTTATTTTCACTTGTGAACATTACAATCGGTGAAATGTCGTGCGTCTATGTACCTAAGTGAGATTCTGCGCGTTTGTATAAAGTTCCGCTGCTGTTCCAACCTACATAATTTACTGTGGCTGGATGGCCGAACTGCCGGACGGGTACCGGGTAAATGATGGTCATTGGTCGCAATCGTCGCCGGGAAAACTCCCGGATAATTGACACGATGAGGCAAAACGAGCGGCTTCTGGTCAAGCTTTGGGCTGGGTTTGGGCATAATTTGATTGCTGCAGCACCAATACAACTTGTCTCTGTAAGCTCTGAGATACCTTACTCAGAACTAACTCTCTAATCACGATGTACTGTTGATAGGACTCCGATGAAAACTACTTACTGACAGTATGCGTTTACTTGTTAGACTACGACACAAATAGTAAAGTTCAAAGAAGAATGCGCTTTGGAGAAAAGGTGCAACATGCAAACTCACTCACAGATAGGTTACTCGTGTGTAAATCAGAAATTGTGAAAACTGACTCAGAAAATCTTTGATATAATTTCAAACAATCCGAAATGTGATAATCAATTCTGGGCCCACCCCGAATTTGCCGAATTTCGAAAACGGTATTGTATAAAATTCTTACAAAAACTAAAAATTATGATTTATTTTTTTATCACTATCTTGCAAATATCATCTTTATACGAAACGGGAATCTCAAATTCAAAATTAAAAGTCATTTTTCTATGTTATGAAATGTGGCAAACATTGTTATTTATAAGGCCATTGACGCTCTGCCTACACCATAAAGGCTGTAGGTGTGATTTTATGTGTTAAAATATCAATACTAGTTCACATTCGAGCAAAATGCTATCAAAACAGTTATTTTTAGATTGCCTGTGTAATTTTTAGGTTATGTTGTATTTTGCGTCGTTTTATCAGTTTCGCGTTGAATAATTTAAAAGTAGTTATACCAGCATAATCTAGGTAGTACAAGAAACTCGTAGTACATATTTACTACGAGTTTCATGACCATACATTTTGATTTACGAGGCATTTGTGAGGGGCCTAATCTTGTATGGCCAAATGATTATATCCTTTCACAACTATAATACCTACACGCAAGTGTCTTTGATCTAAAAGTCGAAAAGTCGTATATGAATTATTTGTCAACCCTTTACTAAAACAAACTGCTTTGTATATTTCAAACATGCTATCATTATAAAAAATTGATGACAAGGTAAAATCCTAGCAGAGAGTTTCACAAAGTTGCATTTTCCAAGATAATAATGACAGACTGGAGCTCGATACAAAGTTATTACGATGCAATCGTTCAAACCATTCAAACAAGTTTCTTATTTGTTAGTTTGCAATATCAGACTAAATGAATGGGTAGAGTCAGTCTTGCATATAAATTCTTCTTTAGCTATTTACGTTTTCATAAAAACGTATACTCCTGTTTTCTTCCCAAGTATAATGCATGTTCAGCTATTATTCTTTTAAAATAAAATTGAGACCTACTTACTAAAGACAAGCCATTTTTTTTTAAATAGACTTCAAGAAGAAAATGTGATTAATGTTCTTTTCCCATGATTTTGTGTTCATATAAAACATGTTGCGCCGACCCCAAGTAATTGGGATAAGGGCAGGAAGATGATGATTATTCTTTTCCCAAAGAAAACATATTATAATACCTAGAGTTCATGAATGAATTTCACATGTTACATTTACCCCGCAAGAAATGAAAGCGTGGTGTTCTTAATGGGTGTGACTGTTTGAAAGACTCCATCTAACTATTTTCTCTTGCGTTGTAATAGAAAACATCGCTGCAGGCTTAGAGAAATATCCTGGGATCGTCCTTTGTACTACGTCGTCTCTTTCGTTTTGTTGTCATACACGTCTCATACAAAGAATCTGTGGACGCAGCTGCAATAACCAGCGAAAGCTCCCTTTTATACTTCAGTTGAAGAATAAGTTGTCAAGTAGGTAGGGATTGATTTTCACCCTATTATACGTTTCGTAATATAGGGAATGCCAGCTTAGAATAGTCCATATCTTTCCCGTGGGTGTCGTAAGAAGCGATTAGGGAATTTGCGAGTTGGTGTTTATTGCAATTTTAGACCACAGGCTGAAAAATATACGGTAATACACCATATAGAAAGGTAATACACCGTATTCTGACTGACTCTCAAACTTTTATCAGACGTGGTGTATTTTACAGTAGTTTACGCTTTGCCTACCGTGATAAAAGCGTGATATACGTGTGTATTTATTATAACTACGTCTCGTATTAAAGGGGAGTTGTTTTTTAGTAGGTATGTATGTACAAATGCTCACTTTAATATTGTTGACCATTAATGAGAATCAGAAATGCATTTAGATGGCGGATATTTTCGGTTGATTTGTATTTCTAGGCCTAACACGCAAGTAGACACAGACCAATTTGGCGAATCGCGCCGGTTTGCGCAATGAGCATGTTGGCTTACCGCTCGTACTCCCAAATTTTTTGTTGTCATATCCAAACAATTTAGATGTAACAAATTCAACAACCTTACCAAAAACTGTTATTTCACACTTCTTTAAGAATTTGGTTTCGATAAAAATAAAGCCGAGCATTTTTGTTGTGTGCCAGACCCTATTCAGCGTGGTTTTTGCTAGGACTTCGCTAGCATGAAAGTGATTTATCATAGATAGTTGTAACAAGTAGTTGTGTTCGTAAGATCAGAAAAGCAAAACATACGTCTTTACATATTAAAATGAAACAAAGAATGTCTGTTTCATAAGCAGAAAACTGCTGATATCTATAGTTGAGTCGGCTTCGTTGCTTTCTCACTTGAATTTACCGCCAAACTATCTACTAATTATCACAGTCAGTCATTTCATTGATCTATGATCTATGATAACTCAACTCTTCATAGATTGATAATGCGGTCGTTATTCTCAGATATCGAATTAGATAACTATATTCCCTTAACCACGGCTGAGTGAGTACTTACATCATGAAACATATCAAAAAAAGAAGAACACAGGAAAAGCACACGATCTTAACACTATCTATAAAAAACATGTACTGTTTGTGTCAATAAAGTGGACCTCGCCTCCGCGGGCATCTTTTTGCCGTTCGTCAGACCGTTACCAATGTTTTTGCTAGCACTCCGAAGGCAGGAAAGTGATTTATCATATCGTAACATGCTGCGGTCTGAGACGAAAAATAAAAGTAATTCCTTTTGTATTTTCCGACCAAGCCGCGTAAGTACAAAAGCTACTACAACTTAGACTAAAATCTACTTAAAAAATGTGAGACCGCATGTTTAAAACAGTTTCAAAACTAGTTATAGCATAGCTACACGATAACGAGTTATTAACGAAAAAACTAATAGTAGTAGTAGCAGTAATTTTGTTTCCAGGATTTGAACGTGTGACTAATGATAACCATACCTAAGCGCTAGCAAATCCATTTCTATTGACGCTAGGCTAGATTAGAACAGTAGGTATAGAATTACTGTGACCACAAAACAACACGAAATTAAAAGTCGGGGAGGCGGGTTTGAATGCTTTGAAGTCGGGTATAAACGTCTGCACATCGTCCAAAACCTACAACAGCTTAGACTTTACGTATTTTTGTTTTATTCAGGTTTCTATTTACGCAACCGAGACGCATTTGCCAAACGTTTGAATAATGGTCTCGGGTCACACTAGTTTTTCCAGTTGTTTGTACAGCTGCCAAAGAATGTAACTTTCATAACAACATAAATACATACACAAATCACGTCTATATACCTTCCGGGGTAGGCAGAGCACTGTAAAGAAACGGCCATTTACACCATGTCTGTATTTATTTATCTATTTATTTATTTATTATTGAAACATTCCCACTTCACTTACAGAGTAATCCAAATCGTGAAGTAGGTATAGATTTACATCGTAGAACTTAAATAATTACTAGCATACTGAACAAATTTTACAAAGGTATTAAAAAAAATATCTACTTCCGGTATCTGAGCAATCATTGCGTTTAGAAGGCAGACAGCTCGTGGTGTCGGAGTGCCTTGTGCTGTGCAGGTGCGTGTAGAGGGACCCACGAACAACCTGGAACTTACGCAGTCGACAAGCACTCTGAGGGGCGAACAGTTTACACGCGGATAAAGTGTTTGGGTCGTCAATCCTTCCATTGAACAAGTTATAAAAATGAATTAAGTGAGCACATTTCCGTCTCATACATAAGGTATCCATTCCGACCATACCCGAGACAAATAAAGACGGATACAAGAAGGGATAGTATCCATATAACTTCTTATATAAATAACGTGCAAATTTGCGTTGTACCCGTTCCAGTAGTATTATATATTTATCTTCGTGCGGATCCCATTTATAACACTATTGTACTACAAGATACTACGGACATACGCATAATATAATGTCAAAATGGCGGCTCGATTGTTAGATATCTTAGTCTGACGCATGACAAAGCCCAGTGCCCTAGATGCCCGCTTGCAAATTTCTTCAATATGAGGATTAAATTAAAAGTAAGTTCGGCATCTAGATTTACACCAAGGTCACGTATGTTTGTAACACGTTCTAGGGCAGTAGAAGATATAATATAAAAATATATAATATAAGATATAATATACGGATGGATGGTGAGCGCGATCGCGTAAATGTTATAACTTTGCACTTAGAGGAATTGAAGTCCAGCTGGTTGAGCTCACTCAACTTTACAACAGCATCGATGTCTTGCTGTAAAGCTTCACTATCTTCTGCTCCGCGTATACCCAGGAATAGTTTTAAGTCGTCAGCGTACATCAGACATTGAGCTGTCGTCACCACCTCTGGTAAATCGTTGATCATTATAAGAAACTGAGTTGGCCCCAATGTGCTACCTTGGCTGACCCCTGAGCACGTCTTATAATAATCTGATTGATAGCCCGAAAGAGAAACATACTGCATACGATCAGAAAAATAACTGACAAACAACTTAACCAGGTAAGAAGTGAAACCTATCGCCG